TTTAATTTGATCTAAGTAACCGAGACCATTAAAGGTTTGATTCCCATCGGGCTCCCAGGTTTCTGCGCAAGACGAAAACAAGCCAATTGTTTTTTTCACCTGATACACCAGAGAGTGTGTGTTCACAGTCAGTGTGTCTCTGTGCGAACCTCTGCTGAGAGAATGGGGAGCATTTGGATGTTGTGACCGAGAACAGGAACTCACCAATGGGATGGTGGCAGCTGTGGGGATGGAGGAAAATTCTTTATGGTATTTAGTAAAGAAAGTGAAAAGTCAAGGGGTAGAGAGTAGAGGGGAGTGAAAGAGACCCGATTAGACACACAGCTGATTCCAGGAAGCATTGTAACAGCTCGAGAACAAGCTTCCCCCTTCATTCTCCTCTTTGTGGACATCACACCAGGCGGCTAGAGAAAGGGAAATACACAAAGAAGAACGAATCCTAAATACCTCCATACAAGACAATGAGTCGCTAACTTCCTGCCTCCCTCCATACACCAGGGACCCTGAGCTTAGACCAGCTGCTGTAGAGGAAAAGAGGAGAAATTGAAGAGAGGCTCTCAAATGATTGATAATAATAATAATCCTTTCATTTGATATAGCACTTTTTCACGTCTTCTAGACAACAACCACCACAAAATTACATTTGTATAACACCTTTCACGTGGGGAGAATGTCCCAAGGTGCTGGATAGATAGAGTTTGGGGCCTGAGCTGGGGGTCGGGGTCGGGGAGGGTGGAGGGCAGGGGGCGGAAGCAGGAAGATCGAAAGCATGGTCAAAGAGGAGGGTCTTGAGATGGGTCTTTGAAGGGGGCAAGGGAGGGGGCGAGGCAGAGGGACTGCGGGATGGACTTCCAGAGGGTGGGGGCAGAGTAGCCCGCCAATAGTGGAGCGAGCGAGGCGGGGGACATGAAGCAGGCCGGAGCCCGCTGAGAGGAGGAGGGAGCGGGCAGGATGGTAGAGGGTTAGGAGATCGCAGAGGCAGCGGGGAGCAAGACCATGGAGGGCTTTGAAGGTGAGGACCAGGATCTTGAACTGTATCCTCTGTGTGATGGGAAGCCAGTGATGTCGGGCGAGGATGGGGGTGATAGGGTCATGGAGCCTAATGCGGGAGAGGACACGGGCTGCAGAATTCTGGATGATCTGCAGCCTATGGAGAGAGGAGTTGGGAGGCTGACAAGCAATGAGTTTGCAGAGTCAAGCTTCGATGTAATGAAAGATTGTATGAGGGTTTTGGCAGCCTGTGGTGTGAGACAGTAATGGAGCTGGGCGAAGTTGCTGAGGTGGGGAAGGCGGAGTGGGTCATAGCGCAGATGTGGGGTAGAAAGGATAGTTGAGGGTCAAGGTTCCGGACTGGCTAAGCAAAGTAGGGTGTGCAACCATGGATGGTGATGCCGTCAGCCCCTGAGGTGAGGAGGCATTGACGGGAACTAATCAAGAGAACCTCAGTCTTGTTGACGTTCAACTGAAGAAAATTATCTCTCATCCAAGACTTGATGTCCGACAGACATTCTGATCTTGGAGTCAAGGGTGGAGGCAGAGAGGTATAGTTGGGTGTCATAGAATTAAGAGAGTTGGAAGGTAGGAGGACTGAGGAGTGTGGCAGAAGGCTCGCTCAAAGAGGAAAGTCTTGAGACGGGTCAGGACTTGAACATATAGTTACTCCAAGACAGTGCTGCATTATTGGAGGTGCATTCTTTCAGATGAGACATTAAGTGGGAGCCTCTTCTGCTCACGTACGGTTATATCACATTATTTTTTACCTCTCAGAACTACAGCTAGTTACAACTTGAGGTTTTCCCTATTTTTCTGTTATCCTTTTTTTGCTACAGATCAGCTGTGACCCGCTTGGGGACAGAACAGACCCTTGTCAGTTAAGTCTCGCCTGTCTGAAGGATTCAGATTTTTGTGACACTCTATTGTAGTTTTTCTTGAGGGGATTGGGGAGGGTGGGGAGGGTGGGTGTGGGGGGGTTGTGGGGGAGAAAAAACAGTCTCGGAACTGACTCACTGACCCTGAAGGAACACCATTTGCTGCTAAGCTTGGCTATTTTTAGCTTGCCAATGTTACTTGAATGCTAAGTAGAGATGGTGCTGAGGAACCATTGGTGCTTGAAGAGGCAGACACTCCCGGCATGCAGATCTCTGTCACACAGTGTCAGTGTCACTTGGTTCCCTTCACATGTGACAGCCAGCACACATATCCTCACCACCCAATAAAGGCTCACGAGTGCCAAGCTTGTTGCCCCTCAGGATAACGGAGATAGCTCCATCTCCTGCTGTGTTTTACTCAACTGCTTCCTCCATTTACAATTCCTTTACAATAATAATAATCCTTACATTTGATACAGCGCCTTAACATGTCGTTGAGACGTCTCAAAGCGGATCACAGATTATACTGTAAAGTGAATTGACAGTATATTTTGTGGATGAAATGCAGCTGCCAATCGTGCACAGCAGTGTCCCACAAACAGTCATGGATTGAGTGACCAGGTTTTTTTTTGAGGGATTATTACCCCCAGAAAGCATTTCGCCAATCGACTAACAACAATACAACTACTTACTGCTAGGTAAACAGAGACGTGTGGAGTAAGGAAACTTGCCTAACTTTTCACCCCGTCGGGGATTCGAACCCGGGTTCTCTTAACAACAACAGCTTGCATTTATATATATATCTTCAAACCGGGCAGCGTCCCAGGCGCTTGCGAGGCAAGTTCTCTAATGACTACGTTAGGAGACTCGATAAAAGGTTGACAAGGGTTTATTTGCTTCACCTTTTTTTTAAGAACAGATATAATGCTAGCATTTTGATGCACTATGGAAACAGCTCTGAGTGCTTCACAGGGAGATGCTGCCGTGTCTAGTGAGGCTGCGAGAATTATTGGAGGCAGCAGCTATGCTGAGTTGTGAGGCATTGCACTTTGTTGGGCAATTAACTGATGAGGTTGTGTATTGAGTAGAGTGGTCAGCAGGGAGACATTCTCCTACTATTGCTTGCTTCACGTGCACTATTATCATACATCACGTACCAAGCTGGACCAAGGACAACCAAGTACACATATACCAACCGCTCCAGAACACACTCAGGCTCATATTAAACCCAATCGTTTTAACCCTTCCCGCCAAGTCACAGGGTTGTGGAATAGACTCCACGAGAAAGCAACAGCTATGTGTGAAGTGGCTCATTCAAAAGAGAGAAAAACAAGATCTGGATTAAAATCTGGTTTGGAATTGGACTGAAGGTTATAATAATAATCCTTGCATTTGATATAGCGCCTTGTTGAGACATCTTAAAGCGCTTCGCAGAATAAACACGGCAGCCAATGGCGCACAGCTGTGTCCCACAAATAGTTCTGGATTGAGTGAACATGTTTTTTTTGAGGGATTATTATCCCTGGAAAGTGATCCGTCAATCAACTAACAACCAGGTTCCTACTTACTGCAAGGTAAACAAAGGCATATGGAGCGAGGAAATTTGTCTAAACTTTTGCCCTGCCCGGGAATCAAGCAAACAAGAGTTACCTGGGAAGCTGAGGAGAGTTCTAACCATCAGCAATTAAGCTCGTGCACAGAAATTTGGTGTTGGTGCAGATTTTAAAAAGCAAGTTGTTGTTGTTGAGTATACTAACCGCTACTGTACAGGACTCCACATGTGTTGTAAGTGTTAAGTGCAGGGGGTGTTATTCCAGCAGTGGGAGAAACGACCTAGCCTGATCTTTCCTGGAGCCTTATCTAGACAACGCTTTCGAAGGTTGAGCAACACAATGGGGAAGTGATCTCTGCTGCAGGCTAGTCAATGGTGATTCTTCACTGAACGGCCAGGCACACTGTTGTGGTTTGCATGTGACTGGTGCAAATCAATCTTGGCAGCATTTGGAAAATGAGACCCTCACGAACATCCGAGGAGCCATCTTTGCACAACATTGCACCCATTGTTCGAGATAATAATAATCCTTGCATTTGATATAGCGCCTTATATTGTTAAGACATCTCAAAGCGCTTCACAGATTATACTGTAAAATGTCTATTTTGTGGGAGAAACTCAGCAGCCAATTGTACACAGTAATGTCCCACAAACAATCGTGGATTGAATAACAGATCAAATATCTGTGCACAAGCTTAATTGCTGATGGTCAGAACTCTCCTCAGCCTCCCAGCCACTGAGATGGGGACACAAACTTTTGTCCTGGGCGCAATATCCCTTCCAGGTTTATAAACTGTCCAGCCAGTTGCATGAAATCATTCGTGAAATCTACTGCGGTAACAGTTGTTAACAGTGACTCCATGTGGCAAATAACAGCTCCTGTCGGAAATAATTATAATAATAATCCTTGTATTTGGCATAGTGCCTTTCACGTCGAGAGGACTTTTCAAGGGGCTTCAGAGGATTTATTGTGAAGTGGATTGACTGTGTATATTGTAGGCGAATGCAGCAGCTCAATTGCAAACAGCAATGTCCCAAAGCAGCCATGGATTGAGTGATTAATTTTATTTGGGAGCTTCTTGGTTGGAACACTGGGAGAAACTCCCTTCTCTTTTCGAATAGCGCTATGGGATCTTTAACGTTTGCCTGAACACATACAGATGGAACACTGGTTTAATGTCTAATCCAAAGGACGCTACCTCTGACATTGCAACACTCACCGAGCACAGCACTGGAGTGCCATCCGAGACTCTGTGAGTTCAGGTCTGTGTGAACCCACAACCTTCTGACTCAGAGGTGAGAGTGCTACCAATGAGCCAAGCTGATGACGTATAGATTGTGTCTGAGCAGCATTCCCGTGTGTTGGCCTGACGGACTTCTGGTCACATCGAGGATTCCCTCTCTGCGACTTGGACGTTGTCCGGCATGAAGGGCACTATATAAATGCAAGTTGTTGTTATTGTTGCTGTTGCTGGAGTCCTGTTACTGCAAGGGTCACAATTGCAGGTGTTTCACTCCAGTGGTGCATCTGGAAGGTAAAGTTTTGGATATTTCAACTAATGGGTTCCTTCTTCCCACAGTAACCTGCTGTCCTCCAAGTACACAGAGATCCATTATGAGAAACAAAAGACCTTCTTATCAAAGGTAAGCTTTGACTTCAAGATTCTCATATTCACTTACAAATCACTTCATGCCCTGCCACTTCCCTACCTCTTCAACCTGCTCACCCTTCACTCTTCTACCCAACCCCTCTGCTCAGCAGGCTCGAGTCTTCTGAGTGTTCCCTACCCCCAAACCGCTCCACAATAGGCGGCTGTGCTTTCAGTCACTATGCCCCAAACTTTGGAACACTGGCTCAGTCTCTCCATCTTCGCCTGTCTTCATTCAAAGATCTTCCTCCTCGATCCGGCCTATGGTCACCACCATTCTCCTTGGCTCAGCGTCAAGCTCCACCATTGTTAATTTCTCCCAAGACGCTACCCAGCGTGAAGGGCACGATATAAAAGCAACATGTTGTTGTTGTTGTAGTAAGCACCATTCTTTAATGGTTTCTATTTTGGTGAGCAATTCGGGGGTGGGTGTTGGGGGGCAGAAAAGCAGGCACTCTGGGTGAGATGGTGCATGAAATACCTTAGTTTTGGAATCCAGTATCTTTTCAACGATTGTTTAAAAATAAGGCTCACAAATTACAACTGAATTGAAGAATTTTACCCAGTTCTGCACACATTTGAATTTTAGATCTCACAGGCTGAGACTGTCCGACTCCTGTGATTTCTGAGCATAGGATCAGGAGTAGGCCATTCAGCCCATCGAGCCTGTTCCGCCATTCTTTTAGATCATGGCTGATCTGTACTTCGACTCCATTTACCCATCTTTGCTCCATATCCCTTGATACCCTTACTTATCAAAAACCTATCGACCTCAAGCTTGAATATTTTGACAGATCCAGCATCCACAGTCTTTTGGGCGAGAGAGTTCCAGATTTCCACTGCCCTTTGTGTGAAGAATGCCTCCTAATTTCACTCCTAAATGGGCTAGCTCTCATTTTAAGATTATACACCCTTGATCTAGATTCCCCTACCAGAGGAAATAGTTTCTCTGTATCGATCCTATCAAATCCCTTTATCATTTTAAACACCTCAATCAGATACACCTCAACCGTCTAAATTCAAAGGAATAGAGAACAAGTTTATGCAAACTGTCCTCATAATTTAAGCCTTTAAGCCCTGATATCATTCTGAAGAATCAGCGCTGTGCCCCCTCCAGGACAAATATATATCTTTCCTGAGGTGAGGTGCTCAAAATTGAACACAGTGCTCCAGGTGGGGTCAGACCAAGGCTCTGTACAACTGAAGCATCATTGCCTCTTGTTTGTTTCCCAGAACAGATGTGGCAGAGTAGTATGAGGGAGCCAGGCATTGAGATGCGATCGATGTGTCTCTGCAGCTGAGTGAGCCCTGTGGGTCTGTGGAGTGGGGAGGGAGGGAGGGAGGGAGGGAGATGGAAATGCTGCTCTCAGCACAGATAACTGTATGGATGCCTCCCCTCTATTTTTTCCCCTCATTTAAATGCAAAGTAAGCCAGAAACATTGCCCAAATCACACGATAAATACCCTCTGCATAAATAAGCACCTCGTAGCACCATACAAATTTGCAGCACAGAAGAAAGCCATTCGGCCCAGGGTGTCTGTGCGTGCTTTTAGTCATTTCAGTCCCATTTCCATAACCTTTCCCCATACCCCTGTAGTTACTCGTTTTCAAATATCTTGGTGTGTGTTGCAAAATTGTCTTGTAAGATTTGCACCCTGCGGCTTCAAAGCATTGTAGGCGAATGCTCTCTGAAGGCAGGCAGCGTGTGGAACAGTGCAAGTTTTATCAGAGAACTCGGAAACACCGTCTTCCCTCTGCGGTCAGGGAGTTAATTGTTTAAACACGGTGGGTAACGCGGGTCTTTGACCGCGCCCTCACTTAGTCTTTCCCTTCCCCGTTCCATTCGGCTCCCGTCCACAGCTCGGGTGTCCAGCCAGGAGTGTCAAACACCTTCAGTCGTCCTCCCGACTTGAAAGGCGCCGATTCAGTGCGAATTGGAACGTATTGTGTGACATTCAGTGTCCTGGATCTCGCCAGTGCAGCCTTCTGATTTTACATAGGGTTGGCAGAATTTTCTTTGTATTTTACAAACTGAGCACTTTTACGCTGCAGGAGTGACCTGCTCATCCATATCCAGTGACAGCTGGCAGCTCAACGGTGCCTAATGCTTGACAGTGTCTCTCAGTGGCACTGGGACATTTCAGTTGGGTGACGTGGGCAGCGGGGAATGGTTTTAACTGAAGCATTTAAGCGTGTGATATATTTTTTTAAAAATACACTTCTCTGTTCCTGGTCTGGCCTCCTCTCTGCTTCCAGTCTGGGATCTTGTTTGACTCTCAACTGTCCTTCAAACCCCACACCTGTGCCATGACCCGTTCTGCCTTCCCCCATCCCCACAACATTGCCCAGCTACACCACTGCCGTTCCCCTCAGGCCGCCGAGACCCTCAGCCACACATTCATTACAACCAGGCTTGATTATGCCAACTTCCTGCTTGTCAGCCTTCCCAACTCTTTCCTCCTCAAGCTGTGGATTATTCAGAACTCTGCAGCTCATGTCCTCTCCTGCACCATGAACCTATCACCTCCATCCTCGCCCAGCTCCACTGCCAATTTATTACCAATTTAAATCAGAATTCCAGATTATCACAGCAGTTGTCTTATTTTAGACCCAATGTGTGAGACTTGCGATGTTGGTGATGATATTGCGCTGACTTGTTTATTCTGCCGTTCGAGCTAAGAGCAACGCAATAAACAAGTTTTTGACCCATTTCCAATGCGGTTATTTTTTACCCCTCTCTCTTTCTTTCTCTCTTCCTCTCTCTCTCTTCTTAAAGGTTTTCTTATTGCATTCCAGCAATTAGAACAGGACGGGTAAATGTCACCGCACATCCCTCAGCAGTGGAATCTGAACCACCAGAATCTGTAGCTTGGTGGAATTCAGAGCACCTGTTTTCAGTATACATCCTCATACCCCACTCCCAACCCCCTCATACTCCACCCCCTCCTACTCCACCCCCTCATACCCCACTCCAGTTTGAGAATTGAGGCGTGAGTCGATAAAACCCAGGACAGGATTGCAATGATATACGATCACCAATCCCAAACTCCTGCAATCCAACACAAAGAAGCAACAATCCAACCAGGGTCCAGATTTAATCTGTGCCGTGACCTCTGCTTTTTCCGCAGGGTGGAGAACATTGCTATTATCAAGGGCAGATCCGGGGGAATAACAAATCCAAAGTGGCTTTGTCTACGTGCGATGGGCTGCAGTAAGTCTGGGCAGGGCCTTTCTTTGGGAATACCAGTTTATTTACATTGCGTTTCACGCTGGATTATGGAATGAAATCAGTTGGGAGGCTAGGCAGGGCAATGAGTTAGAGGCAACACTTTCAGATCAGGACTAGATTGAGATCAGGTGTGTTCTGCCACAATTGGGTGAACTCACAGACCTACTGTTTGCTTCAAGCACTGCAGGCGGTGGAAGGCAAGTTGAATTGTACAGTTGTGCCCTCTCCAGTATTCTCCTCATCCCTGAAGTTGCTGGTTGCTGGATCCAATGGACTCTGCTTTAATGTGGACCGTCCGCTTCACTGAGGCCAGCATTCACTGGACTGGAATAACCCACGTCTCTCCGGAATGGCTGAGACTGGTGCCTCTCTGGGAGGAGATGAAGGGCCTGGGTATCACAGGCACCCATTCCTTTTCGCCTCAGCTCACGTAGGCTGGGCAGACTGCCAGCTCATTTTTCCAAAAGATCGGCAATGATATAACGCCGGAGGAGACAGGATTTGTTAATGTCTTTGTGAGACGCGAAAGAACGCAGATGTCACAAAGGCTGGAAAGGGACACAGCTGCACACTGACATCTCCTCCAGGCAGTCATCACTAGGGCAGAGCTTCAAGACATTAACAGGGGAAAATGTTCTTTCTATATGGATTGAGCCATTGAATATAGAAACAAGAAGGGACTGAAGGACAGCTTCTAATGCGGCAAGTTATCTGCTTAAATAGGACACGTAGGAGCGAGCAAGAAAATTGGATGAATAAAAAAAGGATGAATGACTTAGAAAAACAGGTGGCTCTGGCACAGAAGTCACGGTCACTTCTGTGTAGAAAATTTCTGTGTCTTCCTATTCTTTCATTGTTTGGATCTGGGTCGAGATCTGGTTTAGAGGAATGGGAATCAAAAGATTGGTTTGGTGCCTTTGGCTCATTTTTTCTCAACTTTTTCCAGAATACAATACAATTTACATTTATGCAGCACCCTTCATGCTGGGAGAAAGTCTCAAAGCGGGCTGGGTACCTGAGCTGCGAGGATGGGAGCTGGAGAGGGTGGGGAAGGAAAACTGTGGGCAAAGAGGTAATGTGTGTGGAGAGAGCGTGAGTCTGAGGGGCTCTGGGATGGAGATCCAGAGAGAGGGGACAGAATGGCTGAAAGCTCCCGTGTCAATGGTGTCTATGGAGTGAAGGGAGTGGCTGGGTCTGCAGGGTTATAGGAGGTCGCAGAGGTAGAGTGGGACAAAGTCATGGAGGAATTTGAAGGTGAAATTGAGGATCTTGAACCTAATTTGCTGGCGGTAACGGAGCCTGTGCAGCCGAGTGAGGACAAGGATAAAAGGCTCGCAAAACCTGGTGTGGGGGGGACAAGGACAGCAGAGTTCTACATTATACCATGTTATTGGTTGCATTTGGCTCTGATAAGACCAAGCTGGTTGATTGTAATGCGGTCTCTCCCTCTTTTTCTCTCTGTCTGTCTATCTGTCTATTTGTCTATCTCCCTGTCTCTCTCTCCCCTTTCTCCCACAACCATCCATTCTCTAGTGGGATGTTTGATGATGGCAACTACATGTACGTCATTGAGCCCATGTCACAGACACACACTGAGGTGAGCCCCAAACATTTTGGTTTCTTTATGAAGGGACAGAATCCTATGGGTGGGGAGTGTATGTTTTCCTGTCACCACTGGGGCCATGGGCCGAATCCAAATCTAAGCAGTTGTAACGTGTATGTGAAATAAGTTAGGGTTACAGTTGTAAAAAACTGCATCTAACGCAACACCGATTGACATCTTCCATCAGAGAGGCCGCACGAATGTTGATGAATGGAAATGTTACACTTGTCCAGTTGGGGGTTGCTGTTTACTAACTGCCTTCATCAGTTAGCATTCCAGCGTTGTAGGTTCGAGCCCCATTGTTGGGACTTGGAACTTACACAATCCAGACTGGCATTCCAGTGCAGAACTGGGGGGGCGCTATACAGTCAGAGGTGCCATCCTTTTGATGAGATACTAAACAGTCTATCTGTTCAGATGGACGTTAAAGATCCTACAGCGCTACTCAAAGAGAAGGCAGTTTCATCCCAGTGTCCTGGACAACAATTGGTCATTCACTTTGCAGCTGTTTGTGGGACACTGCCATGTGCAAATTGACTGCCGCACCCGTCCACAAAATATATCCTGTGAAGGGCGTTACGCATCCCAGACTATACTAAATGTAAAGGGTTATTCATTTAGATAATGGGTTATGAAGGTCGTCAGCCTTTGGGGGTAAAGTCATACCTGGTTTTCTTTGTAAATATATCGAATCAATTCTGATATTTCTCCCCAACCTCCTGAGGTAAACGCTTTTAAAGCCGTTATAGGACCTACCTTTTTTGTGACTGGTTTTGGTCACTTCCTCATTTACCCTTTCCTCCCCGAATCTCCCCCCCACTGCCCTCCGCTCAGACTCCCAATCAATTAAGACAAAGCAAAAGGCACTAAAAGAATGTGGTTGTTGATGAGTACATTTACTAAGCAAAAATTTCTGTTCCCACTTCTTAGGGGGATTCTGCAAGGCCACATATATTACACCGGATGCCTGGACTCAGATCTATGGAACAACATCCCGACTCTGGTAAATACGCTGCCTCTCGGGGTCGCTGGCAGAAGTGGCACAAAGAAATCACAGATTGCCGCACTGACTGTTTACAAGAGGTTTTTGGCTCACATAGCGCGTGAGCTTCATATAACACTTAATATTACGTTAGAAAGTGGCAGATAATTCTTTCAACCAAAGTTGGTGTGTTTTGTTATCATCTCAGTATTAAGTGGTAACCTAAACCAGACACTCCTTCACATTCTCTCCCCCTCTCTCTCTTGGTCCCTCTCTTCCTCATTTAGCTTCTCTCTCAGATGAACAGAGAAAGGCTAACACTTCATGGGCTTTCCTGGCAGATGTTCCCTGGCTGCGAAGGCGGAGGAGAAAGCGAGCAGTGAGTATAATCCGCTTTGATAATCCTTTTGACCCACTCTAGTCTTTAAATAGGTGCCATTAGCTCCTCTAAAATGACTGTGGGCACTTTACAAATCTCCTTCTTGTTACTCTAAGTACCATTCGGGTGTAATTCATCTGTCCTGCTGCATTGTTGGAGGTGCCATCCTTTGGAAGGGACACTTATGCCATAGCGTTGTGGTTAATGTGCTCGCCTTGCAAGCAAGTGAACCCAGGTTCGATTCCCAGGTGCGGTGAAACCTTAAGCAAGTTTCTTTACTCCACACTCCTCTGTTTACTTAGCAGTAAGGAGGAACCCGGTTGTTAGTTAATTGGGGATCGCATTCCGGGGTTAATAATCCCTTCAACAACAACAACAAAATAAATAAATAAAAATAATAATTTAGTCACTCACTCCATGACTTTTGTGGATACTGCTGTGTGCAATTGGCTGCCGCATTTTACCCACAAAATACATAGTCAATCCACTTTACAATATATTCTGTGAAGCACTTTAGGACGTCTCAACAACGTGATAAGGCCCTATATCAAATGCAAGTATTATTATTATTAATAAACTGAGGCAACATCTGCCCCACCCTCACGCAGTGAAAGTGACCCACTCTGCATCCGCATTACAACCACACAAACGCAGGAAAGAGGCACGTTATAATGAGAGCTGCAGTAGCATCTGTCCCAGTTTCAATTATTCTCGGTGTAAAAAAAATGCTTCCTGATGTCAGTCTGAAAATTGCCCTTTGCTGCCTTGAACTTGTGCTCTCTTCCCTGCTGATGCCATCCGGGGTATCTGGAAGGATTGGTCTGGGTTGACATTTATTTAGTTTATGGAGAAGCTTTTTCTATTCCAGACTCTGCAGTGGTCAGGCCTCCTGTATCAGACGTCAACCACAACAACAGCGACTTGTATTTAAATACAGTGAAAGAGGCATAAATCGCATCTTTATAAATCATATAATTACTTAAGTCGTACATGCACCCGAGTCCCATTCAGTTTCCTATCAAAGCCACTTAGATTTCTTTGCATTAGTTGTATTAATTAGTTGTGGATTCCTGTAACTCAGTGGTTAAAGCACTCATCTCGCAAGCGACAGACCTGGATTTGATTCCTGGCAGGCCGAAACGTTGGGCATGTTTCCTTACTCCACACGCCTCTGTTTACCTAGCAGTAAGTAGGAACCCGGTTGTTAGTCTATTCGCAGATTGCTTTTCTGGGGGTAATAATTCCTTCCCCCCAAAAAAGTAATAAATTGGTCACTTCAATCCACGACTGTTGGTACACTTCTGTGCGCAATTGGTTGCCACATTTCGCCCACAAAATATACAGTCAATTCACTTTACAGTATATTCTGTGAAGCGCTTTGAGACGTCTCAAAGACATGATAAGGCGCCATATCAAATGCAAGGATTATTATTATTATTAATCACCTCTTATCTTGTAACGCTACTCCCCTATCCTCCATTTCTCCCACACTTACTGGCTGCATTGAAATGTGGGAAATGATGTCCTGACCCATTGACAATGTGGACTCTTTTCGGCTGGTTACATTGAATCGCAGGAAACTTAGACTTGACCCCTCACCGTATGTGCACTTACCGGCTGCATTGAATTACACGTGTGCTGGGTTGATTATTGATCAAATCGGATTTTATATGACTTATACTTGTTTGCCTGCAACTTGGACTTCACGTAAGTCATATTAAATTCTACTGTAGTGCCTTTCAGATGGGGTAGTGTCTCGGAGCGCTGAGCAATGGAGTAGTTAATGTCCTGGCCATTGGTCCCTTTGTTTGAGGGACGATTGACTGACCAATTTTATTTTCCTCAGCTTCATCGCAGCGTCTTCAGTGAAATGAAATACCTGGAACTGATGATCGTCAATGACCACAAGATGGTATGAACCGCGTTTTTTGTCACAGTTTGTGCTCCGTCACACTTGTCAGCTCTCACTGCACTCTGCCTCGGAGGCGTAGGAGCTCGAGAGTCACCCATATACAAAATGTATATCGTTATGTGAATTTCACACACACAGATGCTACGCATGTCCACATCTACACACCCAAAAACAAACATGGATGCATACACACGCACATAGGCACTCACTGCTGGAAGCCACGGTTGAAGCAAATAGCATCAATGTATTTAAGAGAAAACTTGATGCATACATAGAGGAGAAGGGAACAGAGGGATACAGGTGAAGGAAATAGGAAAAGCGTGGGTTTGTGTGGAGCATTAGCATTGGCGAGGAATGGTTGGATTGGATGGCCTGTACTTATGCTGTGTGTGGTGTGTGCTACACCTTGTCAGCTGCCCACTAGAGGGCAGACCTTCACTTTCTGCAAAGAGATCTTAAATAATCATAGATCATATTGTGTTGCACATAGTTTGTTATCACGTCGAAACATGATTAAGAATAACAAACGTTTTACTCCGCCAGCGGAGTGAAGGACCACAGAGTAAACGAGACAAGCAAAAGTATATTTTACCATTCTGCCCCTGCTCTCTGTAACTCCATCTCGGACACCTGCTGCTCTGGGACCCTATTTAGTGAATGCCACCTGCCATCCACCCCCCACTACTGGAAGAAGTTTGAGTGTCAAGTGGTGAGTGAGCACAGAACCAGTCTGTGATGCCACTACATCCCCTGATCTCGTATGAATAGTAACTGTGAATCAGAGGTGCCACTATGACATGGAAACGTCCCCTGAGCAAAAAGGGGAGGTGGTGGGGGGCGCGCGATTGGGGGGGAGAAAGGCGTCAAACTTTCTTCAGAGGAAGAGGGAGAGCTAAAGACTGCCTTCCTCAGCATCTGTTGCCGTTTGGTTTGGTTTGAGACTCGCGATGCATCACCTTCTCTTTTCACAGTACAAGTTGCACCGCTCCTCCCGCGCCCACGTCAACAACTTCGCCAAGTCCGTGATTAACCTGATCGATTCCGTAAGTACCCAATGAAATACCTTTTGTAGAGTGAGTGGCGTGGAGGAGCTCTTTCTCTCTCTATCTTTCTTTCTGCTTCCGTTTCAAGGCACCGTATCTACCAGATAACATAACAGATAGATGGTGGCAACTGTGTTGCAGTTTGTCAGCTTGGACTGCGAGCTCAAGCCCTCTACGTTGGCTTACAGTCCCACACAGTGCTGGAGGAGAGCTGCATTGTCAGAGATGCCGTTCTTTGGATGAGATACTGAACCAAATTCCTGTCTGCCTGTTTAGGTGGATGTCAAAGATCTCATGCCACTATTCGAAAAGAGAACAGAGTTACTCCCAGTGTCCTGGGCAACAATCTCCTAAATAAAATAGGCAGAATTCACTTCAGGGCTGTTTGTGGGACATTGCTATACGGAAACTGGCTGCTGTATTCACCTATAAATATACAGTCACTGTACTTTAGAATAATCCAGTGAAGCGCTTTGAACTATCTCTACAGTGTGATAACTCTCTATATAACTTCCACCTGAACAGGCAGTCAGGACCTTGGTATAACATCTCATCTGAAGGCCAACACTGCTTTGGAGTGTCAGCCTAGACAATGAGTTCAAAGCCCGGATATAGGACTTAAACCAAATGCCCAATGTCAAACACTATGCCTTTATTTTGATTAACAGTTTTTATTTGAGAGAGAGAGAGATACTGAGTCAGCACAGCTGTTGTTTAGTCCTGGGGTGTGTTGGCAATCACAAGTTGATTAACGTGTTGCGAAAAACATCTGTTTCCAGATCTTGTTACCAGGCCTCCTGTTAACAAACAGTATAAATTGACATTTATACAGTACTTTTCATGTCATGACACTGGTGATATGGCACCTGAGCCGGGGGTGGGAGCTGAGGGAGGTTGTGGAGGGGAAAATTAATCAAAAATGTGGTCAAAGAGGTAGTTCTTGAGATGAACCTTGAACCCAGGCCTCTGAGTCGAAGGTTGTGGGTTCAAGCCCCACTTCAGGAGTTGAAATCACTAGTCAAGGCTGATACTCTAACACAGTACTATCAGAGGTGCTGTCCTTTGGATGAGGTGTTAAATCAAGGTCCTATCTGCCTATTGAGATGCACGTTAAAATTCCCATGGCACCCTCCAAACGAGAACAGGGTTCATCCTCCAGAAAAAAATGGGTCAGTCACTTTGATGGCTGTTTGTGGAACTGTATAAGTGGAAGCCAGTGGAGCTTTGCCAGATGGATCGATTTCAAGATCCTCACACTCGTCTTGAAATCCCTTAATGCCCTGGCAACTCTCTACTCTCCGACCTACTTACTCTCCAATTCATTAACCATCGCCTCAACTTGACTGGCTCCAGCTTCTTGCTTGTCTCTCGTGCCTTCTGTTCCACCATCGGCGGCTGCAGTTTCAGTCACTATGCCCAGAAACTCTGGAACACTCTCCCTTAATCGCTCTACCTTGCCCCTTCCTTTCCCATTTTCTGAAGACCTTTCTCAACAATCCTGCCTACGGTTACCTCCCCCTTCCTCCTGGCTCAGCGCCGTACTCCGCCACTGTCGAGCACTCTGAGATGCTACCCTGAAGGAAGAGCGTTATATAAATACAAGTTGTTGTTATTGTGCACAGAGTGGCTGCCGCATTTGTCTACAAAATACACAGTCACTATATTTCACGTTTCAATGTTATGGGCGCTGCATTAAATGCAAGGTTTATAATTATTCATCTAGCCGAGAGCACTTAATGTTATTACAGATTTGATTAACATGACTGAGGTGGTGTGGGACAGCGATACTTCAAACCTGTGACTTTGTATTTCAAAATTATGCATTATTATTTACTGCAGATAGCAGATTTCCAGGAATTGAAAGCGGACTCTTCCATTATACAGCCCTGTAACAAAGCTCTCCAGCATTGTGAAGAGCCAGAAGAATTTCTTTTGATGGCTGGATTTGCTTTGATGTGTGTGAGCGACGCTAATGTTCTCTGCAGTCTTGTGCCTTTTGTAGAATTTCAAGGGTTTGAGGGCGAGGGCAAACTTGTGCAAATTGATATCATTGGAGACTGTCCAGTTCAGGATTAAGGCAGCCTGTAGACACGAAGGATCGGATTGGCTTTATCGACCTTTGCTAACAGAAGCAGAGGGAGGTTGCACGATGACAAGGTTTAGGTCAAGAAGACCCTTTGCCCCTTTCGTTTTCACCCATTCAGAATACCCACTATGCCTCGTCCCATTACACCATCAATCATTGCCCTCCATTCAGTGCTTTTCCAATTCATCAAAGACACAAGGAGATTTCTGAGTTGTTACAATACTCCTATAATAATAATAATGCATCTTATTACATCGTTGAGACGTCTGGAAGGTCTTCGCAGGATTTTACTGTGAAGTGTAGTGACTGTGTATACGTGGGCGAACGCAGCAGCCAATTTGCACACTAACCCTAAGGGAGCCTTGAAATCCATCAAGTCCCTTGGTCTAAAGCATTTTATTTGGGGGATCGCTGGAAAGGACAGCGGGTATAACTGAAGTTGTATTGTTATTTGTAACAACACGGTATGACACTCACACGTGGTTTAGATGCGCCGCATTGTAAACCCAATGTGCTTCTACAACCTGATTTAAAAATAGTTTGATCCTCATTAGAGACCCACATAGTCTGAAGACTGTGAGTCTTTTTTTTTTGCCGATTGAAGGAAAGGCTGACTAACAGCATTTATATTTCTCTCCTGCTTTACCCTTGTGTTTCCACTGATCTGATGAGCTAACTGTCTGTGCACCCAGTATTCCACTCCTGTGCCTGTCCTGTTTCCTGTCTCCAGATCTTTACGGAGCAGCTCAACACCAGGGTCGTGGTTGTCGCTGTGGAAACGTGGTCAGACAAGGACAAGGTTGAAGTGAGCCAGGACCAGATGCAGACTCTGTGGAGCTTCTCAAAGTACCGGCAGCAGTATATCAAGCAGCAAGCTGACACCGTCCAGCTACTCTCGTGAGTAAATATTAATAACAACAATAATAATAATCCTTACATTTGGTCAGCTAGGTGTCCGACGGATGTGGAATATCCTATCGAGCAGTTCAGGACATTATTGACGAGTCCTGCAGCTCAGTAGTTAGAGCACTCGCCTCGCAAGCGGCCCGTCAGGGCGAAACCTTGGGCAAGATTCCTTACTCCACACGCCTGATAATAATCCCTCAAGAAAAAAAACAAAAGCAATAATAAATTGGTCACTTCACTTCACGACTGTTTGTGGGACATTGCTGTGCGCAATTGGCTACCGCATTTCGCCCACAAATATACAGTCAATTCACTTTACAGTGTGTTCTGTGAAGCGCTTTGGGATGTCCTCCCGACGTGAAAAGCGCTATATCAAATGCAAGGATTATTATTATTATTATTCTGTGAAGCGCTTTGAGACATCTAGAAGACGTGAAAAGCGCTACATCAAATGCAAGAAATATTTTTGTTATTTATTATTACTATTATTCATTTCAGATTAAGAAACAATTGTGGTTAGATTTTAACGAGATATGCCAATGGAGAAGCATAAACAGGCATGGGTTCAGGGTTGTAAAGGACACGTTTCTTTACTCAGATGGCAAGAAACATTTCTTTACTCAGATGGCAATTAACCCTTAATCTCTGGAACTGCCTCCCTCTAACCACCTTCCACTCCCTCTCTATCAGTCGCCTTGTACCGCATTGAAACTTGAAATCTCTTTAACCATACCCTCGGTCACCCTCCTACCTCTACCCTCCCTGCCCTCCACCCCTCATGGGATTTCCATAATAATAATAATAATCCTTGCATTTGATACAGCGCTTTACACGTCTTCTAGACATCTCAAAGCGCTTCACAGAACATACTGTAAAGTGAATTGACTGTATATTTGTGGGCGAAATGCTACAGCTAATTGCGCACAGAAGTGTCCCACAAACAGTCGTAGAATTGAGTGACCAAATTGTTATTGCTTTTTTTTTCTTGAGTGATTATTATCAGGCATATCGAGTAAGGAAGCTTGCCCAAGGGTTTGCCCGGCTGAGAATCGAACCCAGGTCTCTCGCTTGCAAGGCTAGTGCTCTAACCACTGAGGTACATGACTCGGTAGCGTACACATGTGGAACTCTCAATCTGATTTGGATACACTTAACCATGGTGATGGATTTCTGCATGTGTTATGCATCAGGGCTAGCCTGCGTGAAAGGATGTATTTTTTAATATAGATACAAGTTGTTGTTGTTGACCACATAAGGGTAAAAATAGTTGGAATTTTGGACGATAGATACAATGCAATACAAAATTACATTTGTATAGCACCTTTCACGTCGGGAGGATGTCCCAAGATGCTGAACAGTCATGGATTTGGCTCCGAGCGGGAGGGTGGGGTTTGGGATCAGGGAGGGTGGAGGGCAGGGAGGGTGGTAGGAAGCCCGAAGGCGCAGTCAATGAGGAGGGGATGTTTTGATGCTTTTTTGGAAAAATTCTTTTCAGTTGTCACAGCCCTCTGTTTGTTGCTGACTCTTTGCCTTTGTGCTGTCTTTGCAGGGGGACTATATTCAAAAGCAGCAGGAGCAGCAGAGCTTTCTTTGGAGGCGTTTGCTCCCCAGCCCGTGGCATAGGCGTGAATGAGGTGAAAGGCTTTTCATTAATTTGCAGAGTTCAATCTCAGTGTGCGCACGTCAGCATCAAGCAATAGTGAACTTCATTAATCCATAGCAAGCACTGTAGAAGCTCTCTCTACACCATTCCATCACAGGAGGGGAATTCAGGGATTATTTACATTTCTTGTAGATTGGTTCACGTTGGGAGGATGCCTTAAAGTTCAATGACTTAAATACTACGTACTGGCAGCCAAGCTGGGGGAGGGTGAAACCTAAGGAGGGAAGGTGGCCAAAAGCACACTTGAAGAGATCAGTATCAAGGCAGGTTGGAAGGAAAGGCAGAAGGATTCCGGGATGCAGTTCAGAGAGTGAAGGAGAAGAGGGGATGAATTCAGAATTGTGACTCGGGATTAAAAGGACTGGTTTGGAAGAACTTCTATCCCAGAGGGTTGTTATTGTATGGAACGATTTGCTGGGGCAATGTTTGGAGCAGAGTGGATTGGGACCATTTGAAAAAGCATTCGGCAAGTATACGCAGAGGAACATTGAAGGGTATGGGAAAGAGAAGGGAATTGGGATTAGGATGAATGACTTCGCAGAGGAGGAAATATCAACATAGAAAAATAGGCCAGATAACAATACTGTGTGAAGTACAATGTGGTTTGTGCGTTATTCTGACACATTCTTATTGTTCTCCAATCCCTTGAATCCAGTATGGACATGTGTGGTCAATGACTCTCATATTGGGACAGAGTCTTGCACAGAACCTGGGGATCCAGTGGGAGCCCAATTCCCGCAGAAAACGGAGTAAGCGTTTCCTCTTTACTCTTTCACCTCGATCAGTTCTGTGCGTCTCGAACAAGGTGCCTGGGACTGTGTGTCACCAAGCCAGCCAGCACATCCGCTATTCTGTACTTGGAATGGTCACCTACTCCCATCTCAGTCACTCACCTACTCCCATCACAGTCACTCACCTACTCCCATCACAGTCACTCATTCACTCTCATCACAGTCACTCACTCGCTCACTCCCATCACAGCCACTCACTCACTCCCACACAGTCACTCACGCACTCCCAGCGCAGCATAGTCATTCATTCACTCACTGCCAGCACAGCACAGTCACTCACTCACTCCCATCCAGTCACTCACCTACCCCCATCATAGCACAGTCACTCACCCACACCCAGCGGAGCACAGTCACTGATCCCATATCAGTCTTATCATTCATTGTGTGTTTTGTATGTGATATCAGTTGGCTGTGTGGCAATCTGTAGCTAGAACTTGAACCTGACCATTAACAATGATTGCAGGACAGACAGGCTGGACAGACTCCAGTCTGAAAATGTTGCCATCTTACTTTTGCCATTTTAATCATGACAGTAGACTAGTAGGTGAGGATGGGACATGGATGCCAGACTGACATTGTGCTCTTCTTCTTTCTCTCTCAGAGGAATGCGAGTGTCCTGGGTCCTGGGCTGGGTGCATCATGGAAGACACAGGGTATGATATTGTTTCTGGTTTTGTTTCTAAGGCGAGCTACTCAATGGAAGGCACAAAATAATAATAATAATAATAATAATAATAATATATTGCGCCTTATCAAGTTGAGACGTCACACTATATATTGTAAAGTGGATTGATTGTGAATTTTTCTATTTGTGTGAGCGCTACAAGAAGAACAAATTGCATTTTTATACTGCCTTTCCCAAAGAAGGATGTCCCAAGGGACTGGATAGTTAAGGATTTGCACCCACGCTGGGGGTTGGAATCAAGAGGGGTGGAGGTTAGGGGGGATGGGAGGGGGTGTGGTGAGAGCACGGTCAAAGAGGAAAGTTTTGAGATGGGCCTTGAAAGGGGCAAGGGAGGGAGCGAGGCAAAGGGATTCAGAGATGGAGTTCCAGAGGTTGGGCGCAGAAGAGCTGAAGACCTGACTGTTGTGGTGGAGCGGGAAGGGTGGGGACATGGAGCAGGCCAGTGCCCGCTGAATGGAGGGAGCAGAGAGGTTGATATGATATTAATAGTTCACAGAGGTAGGAAGGAGTCCATGTCTTCTGAGCAAGCCTAAAGCCCTTTGATTCAGGCTCGGCTTCAGGTGAAAGGCCAGATCACGAGTCAACATGTGCCGATGGGACTTGAGAATAGTGAGCATGTCAATCGGTTTTGCAAGAGGAATAACTACAATTGATCTGGATCTTATTGAAAATAACCCAACCGGTCATGGGGCACTTGAGAGACACACAGCTGCTTGGCGCTGTGTGGTTGTTATTGTAGCGAACAGCAGTGTTAAAATTGGAATTGCAAAGTGAGCCACTCTGCCTTGATGTGTCTCTCATTAATCGGACACTTGAACCAAAACAGTGAGTGGGTTGCAACTGGGTTCTTTAAATAGAAAGTTTAACTAGATGAGAGGAATGTTTTCATTATCTCTTAAAACAAACAATGATGCAGGTTCTTTACCACGTCACTCACTTAACTCTTCAATGGCTAAGATTCTCTAAAGTTGCATGTGATTAAACACACAGCCATCTCCTACCGACTGATTCTGCCCTCACCATCCCCTGCGATTTTCTTTCCTTCTCTCCTGAAGGTTGACCCAGTAGATACCCACAGCCTTGTCGGACTCACGCAGCCTGCTTTTCTTCATGGCTGGGAAACTGAGCGTGAGGAGTATCAATGCTGGATCCTTGATCCTGTCCTCATTCAAAATTCACCTGCGTGGCCTGATCAGCAAACATTGAGATCAGGAATAGGAAAATCAGAGATTTAATCCCTTTTCCCAGCTCAGAGCCACAGAGGCTAATTGTACCCACCCAACATTCATCCAATTAGGGTGACAAAACATGTTGGGTCGAGCTTGGCTGGGTTTGGGCTCACTTCAGTTTGGTGTGGCTTGGATTACGTTTACTTTGCTTAGCTTTGTTTGAGTTCCCTCATACTTGTTTGTTGCTGCGTGTTTGTTTATTCCTGCAGCTATTACCACCCACACAAGTTTTCCAAATGTAGCATTGCTGAGTACAAGGAATTTTTACAACGTGGTGGAGGGGCCTGTCTCTTTAACCGACCAACAAAGGTAAGAGGTTCTCATAAAAAAGGTGCGAGTGTTGCCTCCAGTGGAGGTGGCACCAGCACTGTCAGCATGGACTGGCTAGCCTTCACCCATTCTATTGTTCTACTGGTTCTATTTTGTGGGATTTCTTAAGGGATTTTTTTTTCTTTTCATAGAAATTTGCAGCGTAGAACAAGGCCATTCAGCTCATTGTGTTTGCCCTGACTTGCAGAGCAAGGTGTATATTCACTCCCACTGCCCTGTCTTATCCCCATCCTCCCTCAAGCCTGTACACTTCATATAATTGTTCACTTCCCTCTTGAAACCCACAGTGGACTCAACCTCTTACCACCTTATTTGGCAGCGCATTTCACATCCCAACAACTCTCTGAGTGAAAAAAAATGCTCTTGTGACCATCTTACGGAAAAATTATATCAATAATAATAATGGGTTGGCATCATACCATGGTTTAAGGGGGCTGCCCAGGACTGAGCCTGAGAGCAACAAAGGTGATCCTCAGTGTTAGAAGAAATTGTATTTTGTAGCCAAAGACGGCAGCCGATTTGCGCATGGCAATGTCCCACAAAAGCCATGAAGTGTATGACCCATTTTGTCTGGGACATCACTGGGGGCCTGGATGAGATGGAGTGAAGGGCGCAGTTAATGGAAGCTGGAGGGGTGAATAAGACCATTGTGCCCTGTTTATGTGCTCTATAAATGGTTTCTACATGTCTCATTGTTTGCCGTTCACTCTTTCGGTTACTTTATAGCTGTTCGAAACTACCGAATGTGGAAACGGATACGTGGAATCAGGGGAAGAGTGTGACTGTGGGTTACGAATGGTAAGCTTAGGGTTGAAAAGCAAATGTATTTCACTTTATTCACTTTCCTCTGCCCTTCCCCCTCCAATGCAATACAATAGAGTTTACATGTATATATCGCCTTTCACATCAGAAGGAGAATGTTTCAAAGTTCTTCACTGTGCTGGATGGGCACCCGAGCTGGAGGTGGGAGCCAAGTTTGAGGTGGTGTGGGGAGGGGTCTAGGAAAACAGAAAGCATGGTTGAAGAGGAAGCGCCTTGAAAGAAGAAAGGGAGGGAGCAAGATTCTGCCCAGTGCAAGGGCAGAATTGCTGAAAACCCTTTTGCCAATGGTGGGTCCGATAGATCGGGTTACATGAAGCAGACTGGTGTTCGCTGTGTAACGGGAGCAGCAATTGTTAATAAATAATAATCCTTGCATTTGGTAGAGTGCTTTATCACGTCGGAAGGACGTCTCAAATCGCTTCACTGCATTTAGTGTGAAATGGAGGGACCATGCATTTATAGGCAAACCCGGCAGCACAATTGCGCACAGTAATGTCCCACAAACAGTCATGAAATGAGTGAACAATTTTGTAATTAGAGGATTGTTGGCTGGGTCACTGGGAGAGAGAAATTCCTTTCTCCTTTCGAATAGGGCCTTGGGATCTTTAACATCCACCTGAACAGGCAGAAGTCATTGTTACTATGATTTTAATGCAGAATCGTCGCCAACATCCTGATATAGAAAAATCTACACAAAAGTGGAGCTTGTTAAGGCTCTTAACAGGCATTTTCTTTGTCCTGCCTCTCTCTTCCCCTCTCCCTCTATCCTCCCTCCTTCGCTCTCCCTCCGATTCCACCCCTTTTTCAGGAATGCTTCGGAAACTGCTGTAAAAAGTGTTCTCTTGCCAACGGAGCCCACTGCAGCGATGGACCCTGCTGTAATTTCACCTGTCAGGTAACCAACTTTCAAAGAAGCTTGGTGTATCTTTAGGTTGGGAGGGGGCATAGGGTAAATATTTGTGTGTGTTGGAGGTGGAGGACAAATCTGAGGGGGCAAGAGGTATTTAGGATTTTAATTGGGGTTGAGAACGTAAACCCCGAACAAAACTTTTGGACACACCGTAATAGCAGAGAAAGATGTTGGGGGGGTAGTATCCGCAAGCTACAAGTGATTTGACAACCTTCTGTGGTCTTGTCTTCAGTTCTTCAAGAGAGGCTACGAGTGCCGAGATGCAGTGAATGACTGTGATATAACAGAGTTCTGCCCAGGAGACTCTGGCCAGGTATTGTGTTCCTATCTGTTCTCAATGAAATGTTGAAGCTAGTAAGTAAAGGCAATCAGCCGCACAGAGCAGAAGGGCTGGAAGCTCAGGATGTGCTAAATTAACGGGTCTCGGTGGGCGGGGGAGGAACCCCAGCTCCCAGCAGGGGAAAAGCATTCCATTCTTAAGCATTGATGTTCCGAGGCACAAAAGCTTTTCAAAAGGGTCACAAATGGTATTTCCATGACCTTATGCCCTCGGGTGGGGGGTGGTAGGGTGATTGGTCTGGAAGGATGAGATCGGATGGGCTGTTGGGCCGTCTTCATCGAAACCAACCTTTTGATAAGAACTGACCTGCATTAACAAGGACATTGACACTTCTTATTGGCATCATTATAGGGTAATACCAATGACCAATGTTGCTTAAAGAGTCATGTGATTTGGGGGTGGGGGTTCATTGATCTTCAGTTCTGATTGTAGCTTCCTTACTCGTCATTGTTTTCTCCAGTGTCCGGCAAACCTGCACAAGCGAGATGGATATGGCTGTGATTTCAACAAGGTTAGTGCTATTGATGGTCCATCAACACTATCGCAGCCTCATTCCCTTGCCAACAAGGCTATCTATCCATAGCTCCTTCAATAGGTCTCCTGGTCTGCAAGTCTAAACTTTGGACCTTTCTCATTTCTCAGGGGCGTTGTTTCAATGGAGAATGCAAAACCAGGGATAACCAATGCAAATTGATCTGGGGCTCAAGTAAGTTAACCTTATAAAGTCCTTATATGTCAAATGATCAACTAGTGACCATTCTCCTTTGGGGGACATAAGCAGGGTCTTCCGTGATGCTGAAGTGGCTCCAACGTGAAGTGTGGCAATGGAATGTCAGAATCGAGTTAAACCTCTGTTGCGGTCTCAGTAGTCCGGTTCCTGAGCCAGGCAGGTCCACAGTCCTCCAGGGCTTTGCTGATGACAGACTGGCCAGCCTGGCTCATCAACTTGGAGGGACAGACTCCAATGGGGCAGGGATTCTTCCCACTTTAATCCTGTACGACAAACTCTTAACGGATGTGGTGGTCCTAGCTGATTAGCAGCAGGAAGCTTGTTTTCCACTGAACAAAAATCCCCTTATAACAATAATAACAATCCTTACATGTGATAAAGCATTGTTTACGTCAGGAGGACATCCCAAAACACTTCACAGGATTTACTGTAAAGGCAGTGACGGTGTATTTCGTAGGCGAAGGCGGCAACCAATTTGCGCACAGCATTGTCCCACAGCCACAAGTGAATGATTGATTCTATGTGGAGGATTGCTGGCCGTGACACTGTCCCATAATCAGAGCTTGGCCCCAGTTGGTGTTTCTGACAGATTCCCTCGTTCACAGAATCCAGAGGGTCGGAGAAATTCTGCTACGAGAAACTGAACACTGAAGGCACAGAGAAAGGCAACTGTGGGAAGGACGGTGATAAGTGGCTCCAATGCAGCAAACAGTAAGTTGCACTAAGGCAGTATTGGACTTGAAATTATTGCCTCAACGGGTGGTCAAGCGGGTTACTGTGAGTGTTAGATCGTGGGTGTACCCCATGTTATAGTGAATAAATAGCAATAATTGCAACATAGCCCATCAACCAACATATTTACAGCCAAAAAAAGGGTGCGTTGAGTAAATGGAGCAGTAAACTTGTTTTCCCCTTTGTCCTTTTAGCCTCTCTATTTGGGTCATTGTCTGTTGTTGCTGGCATCAACATCAATAGTTGTTGCTAAATCCTGAATGAAAAAGGGAATGCTGACACCTGATAGGCAGTAGAGAGAGGACTGAGGCTGGCAGTGGTCTCTGGCTAAATCCCTCCACTAACTACGAGGGTTTTAACACGGGGAACGCTTCCAGTGTGAAGTGCTTACCCACTACATGTCTTGTGCTTGCTCACTGGAGTGGGTGTAGCACATTGCAGCTCAGATTTAAAGTGTTGTTTCCTGGGCTTCTCAATAGTATCTAACTCCTTTCTTTACTCAGTTTTTCCCTCCTACTCTACAGCTTAGCCAACCCTTTAATGGAAAGAGTTGACTGTTTAGTGGAAGGAGATGAATGTGAGTGTGTCCTGATTTACCCCAGGCATTCTGTTAAATCTTGATGGTGCCTGGCCCTTCACCCAGGTTGCTAAATATGTAAGAAAAATTCTCGAAGCAGGGAGCGGTGTGACGTATTAACTAGCAAGTGCATTAACAGGAACGCACGATTGGTGTTGCAAGGTTACCTTTTAACGGCAAGCAGTGGGACAGACAGAGAGGATAATGAAGAGAATAATGTGGGGTTTTTTAATATAAAAGAAAATTCATTCCAATGATAATGGAAGAGGTGAATGTGCATGAGGCCGTCGGCTGTTCTGTACAGTGTCTCCAGTTCGGTATCGTTTACTGTGTTACCCAGACGTATTGTCATAACCTTTGACCACGTTTGTCTTCTTTATCGATTGTCAGTGTTTCTAACCCTTTTTTTTTATTCCTGTTATCTTACCTTCTATTTCACCTGCTTGACTTTTCCTGCTCGATCTCTGACCTTCCCCATGTCAGTGATGTGTTCTGCGGCTACCTCCTCTGCGCTAGCATTAGTCGAGTTCCGCGAATTGGCCACATTGGCGGTGACGTCACTCCCACGTCCTTCTACCACCAGGGAAAGCTGGTGGACTGTAGGTAGGGCTTTCAGCCTTTTCAAATCTTCCTATTGCAAACAACTGGGGATCGTTCCCCACTAAGTACAGTAAGAATGATTCTTGTTTTTAACACATCGCCTTTCGCATCAGGAGGAGGAGGACACTGCAAAGTGCTTCACAGTGTACCACTGTAAAGTGAGTGACTGAGTATATTGAAGGCTGACGAGGCAGCCAATTTGCAAATAGCAACATCCCACAAGTAAACATCATGCCGTGTTTGAACCAGATTTGATCAAAGGGCTGTTTTTGAAATTGCCTTTAATGTCAGTTGCCCACAGACAGGGGTAAACCTGAGTGTGTGGGTCACGTACCCGTGTGGAACTCTCCAGTTTGGAAATCCTTAACTATGGTCAAGTGTTTCCTACTGTGTCAGACACTCGAATACCCCAAATTTAAGCAATGGATGGTCCCAGTAGCGAGGATGTTTGAAACAGCGGTAAACTTCATGGCACAACTGAGGCCAGTTCATTCACTATCCAAGGGTACCCATTGCCAGTCAAAGAGCACACAACTTCAAAAGGCCCTGATAGAGAAGCTGTCTCACAGTTCATGACAACGGCCCAACCCATTGATGGGGTTATTGGCGTGTCACTGTTCCCAGGTCCCTCTTGCCTCACATGACCTTTTATGTTGAAATGTTGGGTGTCCGATCAACAACATCTTGCGATTATAAAGCGTCCTGTCTCTGCTTGTGGCTCACAGCTCTGGAGTCTTTGCTATTCATAGCCTCTGTCTTTCAGCGGTGGGCACATCATAATGGACGACTCAACGGACCTGGGCTACGTGGAGGACGGGACTCCATGCGGACCATCCATGATGTGCTTGGATCGAAAGTGCCAGACCATTCAGTCCTTCAACATCACTAACTGTCCCATCGGCTCATTGGCGAAGGTTTGCTCCGGCCATGGGGTGAGTGTTGCGTGTAAATAACCAGACCTGGTGGTATTAAAGTTAAGGTAGCAAGGTCAGGAAAAAGCACTGAAACATAACCGCTGGAAAACGCCTGTGCCATAAACAGTGCTTGTTCAGTGTAATACCTGTTCTCCACTCCGAGTCCCAAATCCCATGATCTGAGAGCATCTTCAGTAGCAGTTGCATAGCTTTCCTCCTTGTACAAAGCTCAGTTGCCATCCATTCCCTCCAGTGGAATAAAAAGAAAAAAGAATCTTTGTGTTGTAATACAATGCCTTGCACATCAGGACTGTAAAGTGCCGTTTGTAGGCAAATGTGACAACCAATTTATGGACAGCAATGCCCCACAATCAGCCATGAAGTGAACAATTTTATTTGGGGGATTGTTGACCAGGGCAGGCACTTTTCTCAGAGTTTATGAAACTTTTCTCAGAGTTTATGAAACACTTTCCGCTGACACAAGTTTTTTGATCCCATTATGGGGTACGTGAAGCAGAACAGGCGGAATCTGTGATCGCATCCACCGGAGTGTAGACAGCTTGACTCAAAAATGGTCTCTGAGCCTGAGTCTGCTGTGAGGCTTTGTTAGGACATGGGAGAAAGGAGGGAGAATAGCACAAAATGGACAGCTCTTTCAGACATGATGGGCTGAATCGTCTCTACACACACGATGGGCTAAATGGCCTTCTTTCATGCTGTAAATGTCTGTGGATCTGTAGGCCATGTAAGACTGTCCCATGGTCTTTTGCCTCCCTACCCCATGAGGAATAATCATGTTAAAGGATCATACCATTATAAACACACAATGTAACACTTGCTAGTATTGGCGTTAGGTCGTGATAGATAGCTATCAATGCCAGCCTGGCATCATAGTAGCGCTCTCGCCTCTGAGTCATGAGGTTGTGGGTTCAAGTTCCATGTCGGGATTTGGAATCACATAGTCTAAGCTGACACTCCAATGCAGTGATGGGAATGTGCTGCTTTGTTGTAGGTACCTTCCTTCGGATGAGACGTTAAACCGAGGTCCCATCTGTCTGTTCAGGTGGACGTTAAAGATTCCACAATGCTATTGCAAAAGAGAAGGGAGTTTCTCTCTCCTGGTGTCCTGGTCAATAATCCCCAGACAAAATTGGTCGCTCACTCCATGGCTGTTTGTGAGACATTGCTGTCTGCAGCTGTTGGCCAGGATACCAGGCGAAACTCCTTTCTCTTTTCAGTGGGATCTTCAACGACCACCTGAACAGCCAGATGAAACTCAGATTAACTTCTTATTCAAGAGATGGAACCTCCAACAATATAAAGCGCATTCCCCTCTCCCCAGTACTGCACTGGATTGTCAGCCTAGATAGTGAGTTTAAAGTCTTGATGTGGGGCTTGAACTCACAACTTCTGACCTCTAGGAGATTGTGCTTCCCACTGAGCCAGGCTGACACACCGTGAAATAGCATCACAATCTGGGACTAGATGGAGTTTTGGCTCTGGTGAGAGACATGAATCAAAGACTGAATCTCTTCTGCTTTGCTCAATACTTTGCAGATTTGCAGCAATGAAGCCACTTGTATCTGCAAGGGGACGTGGGCAGGGACTGACTGCAGCATGTACGATCCTAAACGGCACGTCTTAAAGAAGCCTCCGGAAGGCCCCAGGGGTTTGTTTAATTTCAATTCCAGTTCTTTTCTAAAAGCATGATGACGTGCAGACCTCCGCTGCCATTTTTATTCCGTCCGTCCATTTGTTCTCAGTGTAATCAAAAATCCGAGGGCTGGGGAAATAGAGGCACAACACATTCAGAGACGAGACATTGAGTCCTTTGCTGTGAGAAGGGGTTCGAAAGGTAAATAAATAAGTGGTGTGAGATTCATTGGACCAGCAGAAATTTGTGCTTGACACATTCCGTCAATCAGTCTTTTTTTTAAAGCGTTTTTTCATTTTTCTATTGGATATATTTTCCCTTCCTTTTAAGTGTCCTTACTCTGTGGTTAAGCAGGGAGGTAGAGTAGAGGACAGTAATGGTAGTGAGTAACTAGACTCAAGGAGGTGCAGACGAGTGTTGGAGGCAAGGGGAGTGGGTTGGGCAAATGATAGTCTTTCTGTCGAGAAGAACGAGCTACCAAATGCTGCCTTTCTCTTTCCCCCCATCCCTAACCCTCACCACTGTCAGTGACAGCTGTGAGTCTGACACATGCGGAAATCCATCAACATGCTTAAGATCCAAACCAAACTGAGACTCCCACGTGATCCACTTCACGTCAAAATTCCCTGGTTTGGGATGGAATCCGCACTCGCTCTCTCCTCCCATTTCTCCCCCCCCCCCACCCCGACCGACCCGAGGGACACACCCTGATTACCTAATTTCAGTATTGGGCGCAGGTTGATTTAAAGGGATTTAACTTGGTGACCCCAGGGAAGGTTTAACCAGCCCAAACTGTAGTTTGCCATTGAGAGCCCTCTCTGGCAAGCTTGTCCAGCCAGGACCACCCTATCCATTAGGGTTTTGGCTTGCATGGTTAACTGGAGTTAATAGGAATAATCTCTGCTCCCAGACAGCATGCTGAGAACGGGATCGCTCTGTGTGTGTATCACAGCCTCCCCGTCATTCGGTTAAAGAATTTTTATTTAACCCATCACTCTGTCTCATTAAGACTTCTTTACCCCGACGTGAGTAAAATCTTGGATATTTTGGGGCCTAGAATTCTAGCCACTCAGGCTTTTCAGATCGTTATTTTCTTAAAATTAAATTCATGCAGAATTGTGGGAGATTCCGAAATCCTCTCTTAATCCAGAAGTTGCTTTACCTCAGTTCTACAAAAGGATCTGATGCCCAAGTTAAAACTAAAGTGAAGATTTCTTTACAATTCTGCTCCAATTTACATTTGAAGTCAACATGCTTTACATTTTAAGACAAAAGTGGCTCGGAGGCTGAGACTAGGTGGAAATTTGAGCCTGGTGGGTAGGATATCTGGTGTGAGCAAAGCATTGTTTAGTCCTGTAGGTAGCTGGAGTGGGGGGCGCGGGGAGGGGTGTAGTATACTCGATGGGCCGAAAGGCCTCCTTTTGTTCTGAAGATGTGTGCCTACATCCAAAGACGTTTCTTTCAGTTTGGATGCAGGCACATTGTAGAAGGAGACATTGATAGCAGCAGAACTTTAATTTGCTCAAAGGACCCACTTTGTTATTGTACGAGAGCCCTTTAATAAAGACTAGTGAAGATTGCTATCTTTACTGATCGGCTTGTGACATACTCCACTCTCTCTGAACAAGAGAGCTGTGTGGAGAGTGACTGGGAGGCTATTATAAGCCATGTGTAAACCATGTGTAAATAGCTAGTACAGAGGGAGGGGCTGGTTGATATAGTATCATACTATGCAGCAGAATCTAATGCACAGCTTCACAGCCCGTGTGCCTCTTCTGCTGAGTTCCTGATCTCAGCCTGATTGTCTTCGAAGGACGTCAACAGTTCCTTGATTTCTTCACAGAGAAACATAGCTGAGCCAGAAGGGGAGAGTCAGACTTATGTCACTCGCCTGCACCTCCAAGGTCTAGTTACTGGACGTCAGTCAGATTCAAATTTAAGGGAATAGATCTCCTGCCCAGGTCAGCAAATAGTGTGCGATGGGGAGAGAGCTTTCAAAAGAGAAGTGTATGTGTTATAACAATACACCTGAAATTTAATCTAGTCATAACTCGTAGGACCATTTTGTCTAAAAATGTAAGATTGCAGAAATTCTTACATTCGTTCTTCATTTGGAAGCCAGTTCATTTTGCCGAACCATGGAAAACCAGCTTCCAAACTAAAACACAATTTGGTGTGACCCAACATCTTGAGACAAAAATAGTTTTGCAGGCTAAGACAGACAGGTTAAAACTTACAGGTTGTGACATACAGCTACAAATTTTATTTGGTCACCTGTCCGCTCCCTCCCCTCTTGCAGGCTAAGATTTACACAAGACTTCAAGCTAAGACTAATAGCTTAAGTTGAATTAATGCTTTAGCCCTGCTGAGAGGAGGAAAATGCAGTAGGGTCAACAAGGTGCAGAGACACATTGGAAGCCATCTCTAATGAAAGAAAATCCTTTTAAAATGAATATAGCATTTGGATTTATCTAATATGAATACATATAAGAGACCATGATGGATTAAACAGGGAATGTTGGACAACAGGGACTGAATGGCAAGGCTGTAATCCAACCCAATCGATCACCTCGGATGAGATCACAAAGACTTTTAAAGGGCAACGGAAATCTCAAGATTAAATTACAGCCTTGAACTCATTCTCCTGACGCGTTGGTTTCATTAATTGTGCATTGGACTGATTTTATTCCTGTACTCCCTCCCATTTGCAGTTATTTGCTTTTATTTTGATTCGTTCGGTGAATTTTGTTTGTTCGTCAAGGTGAGAGGCTTGTTGGGGCTGGGAATAGAGGAGAGCTTCTGTGTCAGGGATGTCATGTCAGCATTCCAGCCCTCTCAGGTGTGGTGCAGGAAGCACTGCAGGCCTCACTTTGCCATTGGAGTGCGGATCCTGACAATTACCAACAGAAAATAATACAAAATACAGGCAGGAGCTAAGCTGCCAAACTGGACAAACACACATCCAGTTACTAATACGGCTCACCTTGGAGTACTTGAAACGTGTACACCGCCCAACTCGTCCCTCGGTTCAGAAATGGCACAAATCTGAAGCCAAATCTTCTACCCGGTCTTAGCCTCAAGCCCAGAAAGCATTTAAATTTAACATCGCTGAGAATTTTGGAAAGTTCGGTTTCAGTCAGGAAGACGGTTTTCCACAGTTCTTAACCAAAGGTTTTTTTTNGCAAATTGAGGCTGAATTTAACAATTTTCCAAAATTCTGCTTGGGATGAATTTTAAGTTTAAAGGAAGCAGGGTGGAAGGCTGAGGCCCCAGTAAATGTTTCCAGGTTTCCCAAAACCAGTTTGTTAGCTGGTTTCAGGGTTTTGTCCAAGGTGAACGGGTGGAATGGGATAAAGTTTAAAAACACCAAAATCATTTTAAAGGCTCCTAAATGGGGCAGGAGAGGGAAGAAAAAACAAGTGTTCTTGCATGTCAAAGTGCAAGAGAAAGAAATTATTTTGATTCACTGTCAAGGTTTCACTAGGCTTCATCTGTGTGTCCTTATGTTCATATTTCGTGACACGTTTGGGTTTTGACTAAAAATCTGTTTCATTCTGTTCTGTTTATTTCAGGTGAGGCTAAGTGACAAATCGCCGTGTTGTTCCTCTAACCTAGTGCTTTGACTCCACTTATTCCTTTCTATTTTTTTTCTACATCAGGCATTTGTATATTCAAAGCTTTGAGCATGTGTCTTTCTGGCGAATTAGCCATATTTTTCTGAATGTTATCCAGCCGAATGTTAGCAAGGGACTGTTAATCCGGTCGCACAAGATGTGCGGGAACGAAGAAATCCTTAGAAAGTGATTTATTCTGAATTTTTCCCATTCAGTATTTTTAACCATTTTGGTGTGTGAAATCTTTACGAGATCAGCAATAAATTGTTTAAAGAATCCAACAACCGTTGATATTTCTCTGAATGTTGCTGAATATGAAAATTCTTTCCTAACCCCCCAAAAAGCTGATTTTTTTTTCGTTTCATTTTATTTGGGGGTTTAAAGACACTAACCATACCTTCAACAAGCTGTGACGGTGTTGCTCTAAAATATACCTTTTTTCCTCCCCCTCCCTCCCTCCACACTCCCCCTCCTCCTCTGTGCAGTGAGCATGGCCACTAACAGGCTAATAGGTGCAGTGGCAGGGATCATTCTGGCTCTGGGGGTGATATTTGGAGGAACAGGGTGGGGAATAGAGTAAGCATCCTTCTCGGTTTGAGAGTGTGGTGTTGGTGCCAGTGTGTGAGATATATGTTTGTACATGTGTTGCCCCATTGGCTTGTTACGTCCTGTGGTTGACTGTATTTCTGCATCATGTGATTGACCATGTGTCCGTGCCATGTGACGTGCCCTTGTCGTGTTGAACCCCCTCCTTTTCTGGGGCATGTGGGGGAAAATTAACCCTTCCAGGGTAACACATTCAAGGAAAACACTTAATCAAACACACCTTATCAGGAACCTTGCTTATTTTTCTGAGGGAGGGAGGTGGGCGGAGGAAGTGAGTGTGGTGGATACTTATATTCCCGGATCCCATTCCCAAGCAGCTAATTCTGGCAGCTCTCCATTGGGTTTCAAGCCATTAATCTGATCTTCGAAGTCTGACACAGTGGGGAATCAGAGGGATTACTTGTGGCAGGTAGCTGGTAGGGGAATAGGCATCAGTCCCCATGCAGGAATGAATGGCACAAACCATTCCCTGGAACTTTTTTTGATTTGAATCAACGCAGCCTCCAGTTGCAATCCGAGAGATGCAGAAGGTCTCTGTTGAGGGGAGTCGGTTGAGTGCTGGGTTAGAGAAGGATGCAGAAACTCTGGACCACTCCAGTGGGTGAAATTCCAGTGTTGAACGTTGACAGTGTGTGCTCAGAACAGGGAAATCTCATCATAGGCCCACACCGCCAAGGACAGGCATTTGATCCAATCAGAGGACCTAGTCATTCTCCCTTTCAAGGCTCTTTATTTGCCCTCCATGTGACTGATGTAAGAGTCTTCGTGTGAAATACCCCATAGTAGAACAGTCAGTGATTAGGGGGCAAAGTTTTTAGATAGCCGCAAGAAGCGCGAAGGAAGATTTTAGGAGAATTTTTTTTTACTCAGATAGTTGTTTAGATGTGGAATGCACTGCCAAGTAAGGTGGTAAGAGGCAGAGTCCTTTGTGGGTTTCAAGAGGAAAGTAGACAAATACATGAAGGATAGAGGCTTGAAAGAGTATGCGGATAAGGCAGGGCAGTGGAATTATCTGAACAGTTTCCTCTGAGAGCAAGCAGACTTGATGGGCCGAATGGCCTCCTTCTGCACTGTAAATTTCTGTGATTCTATTTCTATAAATACATTCACCTGTGGGAGAGGGGAAGGGGTGTGAGGGGAGGGGTAGGAGTCTTGTCTGAGTTCCCAGGGGCCATTGTGCTACAGCACAGGTTTGGCCTTGAATTTGGCACAGAAAATATGTGAAGCTTGAAGAGGAGTCACCATTAGTTATTGCGGAAACTGATAGCACTGATCTTCAACCGTAGAGTAAGGGGTTGATGAGCGGCGCAGTGATGGCAATCAGCTTGTTTTCTTTCATTCCATCTCTATTACAAAAAAACAAGTTGTGCCAGTTTTACACAGGCGATAGGGACAGTAATTGGAAGTTGCAACACAGCTATTTATATATAGCACCCTTCACGCTGGGTAGTGTCTTGGAGCGCTTAATATGGCGTAGATTAACGCCTAACTGGGAAGAAAGGAAGGTGTGACCATAGGCAAAGTCTTCAGGTGCGATGTGAAGATGGGCAAAGAAGGGACAAATGAAGGGGGCAATGGATGGATTGAAGCAGGGAGTTCCAGAGGGTTATTAATGTAACAGAGTGCAGTAACCTCAGTTCTGGGGATGGAGGGGTGGGTGGGTGGGGGTAGGGGGAGAATACTCTGTATAATGTTTCTCACAAATAAGGGAAGGTTCTACTTATTCTCGTTATTGGAATAAGGAATTAATCCACACACCAGTTATAAAGTTTTTATTTTGCCTCAGCCTGCTTCTGAGCAAAATAGTATTGGGTTGAGCATGATCCATGTGCAAATCCTTAAATAGCTCCCATGCTCAACCACTGCAGGTGTGGGGAGAGGGTTCTAGACAATACCAATATTCCTGTAAGTGCAGGGGTTGCTGTAAGGGTATGAATCCTCGAAAAGCTTCTTCAAATACTACATTAGCTCATCCAGCCCTCTCCCCTATGCTGCACAAGCCATGCCCCCTCCAGTGAGGTCTCAGTACTCACAAGTCATCAGTGCTTCACAGTATCTTCACAGTAAATGTGTTTTTATGCCATTCTGGTTGTTTAGCTGCGCTGGAATTAGGCGCGGTGTTTGTAAGGTTGTAACCCAGCCTAAGTCAGGAGTCACTCTGAGTCACAGAGACTCCAGGTTGGGCTCTGCTAGAGAGGAACGGTGAATGGCCTCAGAGAGTTAAGGGTGAATGTTTCAAGCTGTAATACTGTGTAAATGTCATTGTCATCAATTTGTTTGTGACTTTCTGAATGCTTAGGTTACAATCAAAAGTAGTCCTGGGGGAGTGAGGGAGCCATAGTGTTTTTATTACATATTGAATTTTGATAAAAAGAGGAACTGAATGCAAATGATTTTGCTTCAATAAAGAAAGGCAAATACGGCCAACTAGAGCATTGGAAGGTCTGCCTCTCCTGGTTTAAACTCTCTTTTTCACTGTCCATCACTCTCTTTCCCTTTGTGTAGAACTCTCTCTTTTTCTCTGTCATGCTCTCTCTCTGTTTATCATTCTCTATGTATCACACTTTCTCTGTCTATCAAGCTCTTTCTCTATTGCTCTCAATCTTTCACGCTCGCTCTTTCTTCCTATAGCACCCTCTCCCTATCACTCCCTATCTCTTCTGTCTAAATATTCTGTCTGTCTCTCTCTCTCTCTCTCTCCCTCCTCTGTCTCTCCTAATAGAAAACAAGATGAGTTATGAGGCCCTGCACTGTCTGCACTATGTTGGTGCTATTTGTCACCACAGTTAAAAGATGCTTCCCTATGAGAATGCTCTTCAGCAAGGGAACGCCTGTAAACTTCCCGAATCTGTTAAGTGTGCGAGCTGAACAGCTCGAGAACTGTGCAGTTTGCTTTTAAAGGTTTTATCTGCTTTGCGTGACCTGGTGTTCTAACAGTGAAACAGTATCGTTTTGTTATTTAGTCATTTACGATCAGGATGAACCGCTATATGTTTTCCATCCAATGTGACCTCGCTGGTTGGTTCTTACTTGTTTCTCCCCCTGATCCTTTGTCACAGGTCCTAGTGCCACCAATCTTATAATAGGGTCCCTCGCAGGCGCCATCCTGGTGGCTGCTATTGTCCTTGGGGGGACAGGATGGGGCTTTAAGTAAGCAACGTCGCATGTCTTCTCTTCAGTGGCTATGGCATTAACCCTTCGCTTTATAAACACCCAAGTTTCGGGGTCCTGCTACAAGACTCAAAAGTAACCATAATTCTACTTTGCGGTTGGGCCATTCCTATCGCGAGGCAAATGCCAGTCAATCGCCTGCTTTCCCCTCCCCCTGGCGTTTTTATTTACCTCCTTGCCTTCTCCCTCACGCACCGGCAGAAAAAAAACAGTCCCGGGTTATGAGAGAAACGCCATTTTTTAAAGTCGGCTGATCTGTAGCAGAACCGCAGATACTTTGGATTGGCCTAGCTCAAAGCTTGAAGTGCATGTTTTTTTTAAAAAAGAATATATCCTTTTTTTTGGTTCATTTCTACTTCCTATAATTTTCTTTGAAACCAGTTTGAAAGAAAGCCAATGTGCATTATTGACTTGACGCACAAACAATTTGGGCGAGTTAGGGTTGGGTGGGGGTGGGTGGGAGTTCAAAGTTTGACGTCCTTGGGAACCTTATTATGTTATAAGGTTTTTTTTTGGAGGGGAGTAGATGCAATGGGAGAAACAGGATCGATTCACAATCAATTATTTATTTTCAATATGTCACTTGCCCTACTATTGATTCATAAATGACGTTCCAATGTTTCTGTCTCTTGGGTTGGTACGTGTGGCGAGATGATGAAAGAATTGCATGAGTATCCTGAACGCATGGAGTTGGATACAAGACACTGTTGAGGCCAGCGTTAGATAATTTTAATTTCCTTGTATGTTCGGTTTATGATGGGGTGTGGGAAGGACAGAGAACGTACATCTTGGTATAGATTCTTCTGTTTGAGACTCTGGGTGCATGCTTTAATATGTTGTTATGAGCAGAGGGACAAGTAATTGAATACCCTGATTGGACCAGGCGAGCTTCTTTCCATTTTCTTCCAACCCCCTTCTGAAGCCCATTAATGTCAACAGATGTTTAGGGCATAACCCAGCTTTCCAATCCTTACCTCAGATAAGTTTACATATAGAATGGGGGATAATAATAAAGAAATAGTACCTACACGTCAGGAGGATATCTCAAAGTGCTTTGTCAGGATTTACTGTAATCATATTTGCCTATAAAATACAGTAACTAACTTTACTGTAAAGTGGAGTTACTGTATTTTGTAGGCAAATGAGAGTGCCAATTTATGGACAGCAATGTCCCACAAGCAGCCATGAAGTGAGCGACTGATTTTATTTTGGGGATTGTTGATCAGGACACCTCTAATGCGGTTGGTAAATAGAACCGTGCTCACAAACGTTTACCCTGCCTTCCACACGTGTTTGTTAGAGAGTATCCCACCTCGCAAGACTAAGAGACAACTTTCAATGTTTGACACCCAGTAGCTGATGGCTATTTTGGTGAACGGGAATTAAAGTTTGGGCCCTGAATCGTGTTTAACCGTTGCATGAAATGTTAGTGAAGCAGAGATTCCCGGACCTGACCTCCTGTGAAGTAGTCGTAAAGTTTTAAACTAAAAAAAAATTGTATCAGACGTACAATGAATAATCTTTCCTGGGAGTGAAGGTGGAACAATTAGTGGGGCTTATTTATTCCGTGTTGGGAAATTCACCAGGCTTAGCGGAATATCCCTTTGATGGGGTAAGTGATTGCTGAGGGTGAATTTACTGGGGGTCCCTATGATCCCTAACTAGTAATTGTTTTTGAACAGACAGGAGAATCATACACGTGGAAAGCCACCGTCTTGTTTAGGAGTATCCAAATATGGAACTTCCCTTGTTTGGAATGGAATAAGCATTCTCTCTCTGGAGGGACGCACCCTGCTTTCCTAATTCCAGAAACGTAAGGTGCAAGTCGGTGAGAGCCCAGGCTTGAGGACCAAAGAGTATGTTTTGGAGTGCCTCTGGGGTTAAAGCAACTAAAACCACAGTTTACCATTGAGAGCACTGTCTGGTGAGCTTCCTGCTGCTAGGACCACCCTTCCCGTTAGGGCTTTAGCTTGCATAATTAACAGGGGATGAGTGGGACGAATGTTTGCTTCCAGTCTGCCTTTCTAAGTCTTGCCAATGAACCAGGCCAGGTCTGTTGTCAGCACTGCCCTGGACTACTGCAGACCTTCCTGGCTGAGAAACCAGACTACCGACACTTTCATAGAGGGTTCTAAGATTCCATTGTCAAGGCGTCACATTGGAGGCAACTCAGCTCCAGGAGATGCTGATTTCCCCTCCCCCTCCAGGAGATCTTCACTGCACATATTTAGACATGATATGATTGAAATGAATGCTGGAGTGAGTACCAGCCACACGATGGACACTAGAGCACGCAGAGCGCACTGTAATTCTAGTTAAGCTCCTGCAGTAATGTCAGGACTTGCTCCTCGTGTCATTGAGTTCTGGGGCAACAGACTCCCATCCGGGTCTGGACTTTACACTAATATTTTCTTAACGTTGTAGAGCGTGCAGGATTTGGGAAGTTCTTAACACCAATCTCTATTCTGAAGCCGTTTTTCCCGCATCTTTTACAACTGTGGGAAACAGTTTCCCAATTAAGACCGGATTCAAGAATTGGCCAAATTCGGGACACTTGGAAAATAGAGTAAATCTGGATTCAGGTTCCCTTTCCCCGTGGGTAGAAGTTCAACCCGGGTTTAGATTTAATCTATTAGTGTAGCATTTCAGAGCATCCAGAGTTTGGCTAACTATTGAATTCAGTCTTATACCAAGAAGACATTTTTTTTCTCAGTTTCTCAGAAAAAGTTATAGAAAACTGTCTTGAAAACTGCATTTAAGGCTGCATTTAAGAATTTGATAGATTCTGGACGCTCCAAAATGCTCCGTGAAGAGAGAAAATCTCGACCCTGGGTGGAGGGTCTCTCCCCTGGGTTGTTCTTTCTATTGATGCAAAGTTTTTTTGACGTCACCGGTTGCTTCTGTTTGTTTCTGTTTGGGTTTTTTTTTTTGCATGGCATTTACAGCACTGGTGGGCATGTTTTTGGAAAAAGGCCACACAACAGTAGGTTGAGATGCCTTAGCATGAGGCAGTGCTGAATGCCCCACATTAAGCCAGATTCTGGGGAGGTTAGTGCACACCCTATTGTTGCTTTGTGACGTCTAGCTGTTTAGTTTCATAGAAGATTCAATTTTTTCTTCCCTCCTATCCTTTCTACCTCCCTCCCTCCCTACCCCCTTCCCTCCCAGCTAACTCTCTTCTCTCTCTGGGCAATGGACAGTCAGTGTCAGTGGGATGTATTCCGAGGAGGGAGGGTGGTGGGGAGGAGGAGGGAGGGTGGTGGGGAGGAGGAGCTTGAAGCCCTCACGAGTTTCAGGGCTATTTCTATCTCCCAAGGTGGGCAAGCCACAACTCTGTCCATTTTCCAAGCGTATACAATAGGTGTGGTGTGTTCTTGACTTTTCCTTTGTGTAAGTGTGATGTTTGAGTGGCTCGTGGTGCTGGCCTATGTTTAAGCCTCTGTCACAGCGATCAATCCCTCAGTCTAAAGCTAAATCTTCCAGATATGTGCCGCAACGCAGCCAGAGTGAGGAAACTCTCCCATCGCTTTGATAAGCTGACTGCTGTACAATTTGTGACAATATCTAGGTGCCCCCCCACCCCATCATTTTACACAGTGGCAAGGCGGGGTGGAGGGGTGGGGTAGGGGGTGATCCAGAACGAAGAGGAAAGAGAGAGGGAATATCAAAATTTGCATTAAAAAAATTAGTAAACAAATTGTCACAAATTGCTCGCCAGTTCTGTTTCATCCTTGATTTGGTATAACCCTCAGGACCACCTCAGGTCTGTGATTTATTGTAAAGAAGCTTTAAAGTGAGGGCTTGACTGCACTGGGAGCCCAGCACTTCGGAATGCAAACTCGCTTTTTTGTGGTGTTACTAATATTTTTTTCTCTCTGGTTTTCTTTCCCTCCTCCCCACCCATTTTTCCTCTCCCCTCCTTTCCTCCCTCCTTCCCTCCCGCCACCACCACCATCTCCTTTCTACTGCGCGTTGCAAGAAATGTCAAGAAAAGAAGGCATGATCCGAGTCAGCAAGGTCCTTATTGAGAGAAGTCAAGCGTCAGCCTCAGCTCTGCTTAGCTGGATTCTGGGTGTAGTTGCCTAGCAGAGTCTGAACTTCAGACAGCCAACATTCAGCACAGCGGATAAAACACACACACACACAAACACACGCACATACAAGGGGGTGGGTGGGGGGAGGGAAGGAGTGGGGACGGGAACAAGGCAAAATCAAAATAATCACCACCTCATTGATTCTCCGTATCAATCACCAAATACACTTGCGGTGGGGGATAGTGGGGAAGGGGTGGGTGGTGGGAGAGGGAGGGGAGGGGGTGGGTGGAGGGTACTCTCAAGACTTATTGTTATATCCTTTCTCGCAAGAGAGAGAGAGAAAGAGGCAAGAGACTATTGGAGTTTGAACCAATTTCTTTGACGGCAGCAAAGTAATGCCAGGGAAACACCGCCAAGACGTGGATGGCACTGCCAGCAGCACGCAGTTCTGGAATTTTCTGGAATTCAACGTATAACCCAAAAGCATTAGCGGCGCATGAAATCATCTTTTTCTTTTGTAAAAAAAAAACCCACAAAGAGCAAAAAAAACAACAACAAATGGAGCTTTTAATTCTCCCACGGCATGACATTCTCGTTCTGAAGGTACCTGCATGGAAATCTAAAGAAAACTTTTTTAAAAAAAAGAGAGAGAGAAAAATTAATACGTACATCGGAGAGAATTGGAAATCGTGTCACAGCACTGAACAATGGATGCCTGACAGCACTGCGAGTTATTTATTTAACACACCTTACCCCCCCACCCCAGCCCGTACCAGCCCCCAACCCCCCCCCCCGCCCCCCACCCGCCACTTTTTTTTGAAACTTACAGATAATATCTCATTAGATCTCAGGTTCACCTTCTCAGCATTTTCTTTATCTGCTTTGAACTGCCAGAGAGATATATGTAGTTTGTGACCAGGTGTAACCTCTTACCAAATAGTGGAATTGTACGAAGCAAAACAACAAAATTGAAACTTTTTTAAAAAAGAAAATTGCTTAGGAATTATTATTTTTGATCATGTCATATATAATACAGATAAATAATATAGCGGGTGTTATTTTGGCATTCAGTATCGATCTCCTTCATCATGCAGAAAATTCGCCCCTTTCCTAGTCTCCTTCATGGTCGGCCTCAAGACCTTCCTCTTTGAAACATGCTTTTGGCCATCTTCCCCCCCTCCCACCTCCAAGCTTGGCCTCAAACCCTCTACAAATGTAAATTTGTTTTGTATTGAAATTCCATGAGAGACGACACTGCAGTTTTCTTAACAATATTCATGCTTTGCGTTGAGTATCATGTTAAAACCCCTGGCCCTCTCCCCCTCTCACATTCCCTGCGGTGACAATTTATTTTTAATGGATTACACTGTGAAATATCTGAATGGCTCCTGTCACTGTCTGACTGATGTCAATGGGTCAAAGGAGTAAAGAGCTGGACTCTGGTAACTGTGGGAATAAGGCATTTGAATGAGTAAACGATCAGCCTGAAATTCCACCCAGTTCATATCGTTCAAGGCCAGTTTTTAATAGAGCGGGTGCAGAATTTGGGAAAGTTCTCAAAATCCAGCCTTAAATAGGGATTTAAAGAAATTCCAGTATTCTGTGTGATCATATCGGTTGAAATTCCGACCATCATCACACGGCAATGTCTGCTCGAATAGGGGAAGGGGGTATTTTTCTTGTTATCTTGAGATTTTCCAGTTATAATCACGCTTTGCGGACTGGAATTTCTGTCCATCACACTTCTTAGGGCAAAATGTCCCTGTGGGTTGAGACAAGGTGCCAGTTGGGGCTTTGTTGTGCAAACCCAATGTTCTAGTTGTAAGAATGACTTCTCATTCTTGCCGATGTAATGTGTGACCATTTCGCTTCCACCACCATGATTGATGTAGACAAATAACATAGTATAGTCCAGTGGTGGAGAACCTGTGGCCCGTGGACTGGAGGTGGCCCACTGGCTATCAAGAAGTGTGTCCCGTCACCCCCCAACATTCACACTATTTCCATTTTTTTCTTGATTCTAGATTTCATGATTTATGGCACAAATCAAGAAATATTCAATTAAGGATGTTTATTTTGTTGGACGACCAAAGAGATTGGCCACCACTGGTATAATCCAGAGAAAATTGCACGGTTCTAAATGTTAAGAAAAGGTCCACCTAACTAAGCAAAGCCTCAATCAAGCACAGGGAAGTCTATTGAGTTGAGCATTCTATTGTGCAGCAATTCCTAACAGAATTCCAGGGATCAATAAAAGTTTTCAGAAGAGAGGGAAGCCATTCAGCCCATTGTGCCACTGTAGTTGCTACTGACCAAGTGAGATTGTGGGCATTCCTGGTACTGGCAGCAATGGATTTTCCTTACTTACCACTTAGCTCACTTACCAGTGTTACCTATTGCCAGTCCAAAATGTTAATGAGGCACACTTGCTAGTGCTTGTGTTCTGAGTCAGTTGTGGGTTCAAGACCCACGTCGGGGCTTTGAGCTCACAGTTTAGAGTGACACTCCAGCCCATTGCTTGTGGAGTGAGGCAAGATTTCTGCATTGTCGTCCTTCGGATTAGATGTTAAACCGAGGTCCCATCTGCCTGTTCAGGTGGACATTACGGATTCCATGGCACTATTTGAAAAGAGAGTTTCTTCCGGTGTCCTGACCAACAATTCCCCCAAATAAAATTGGTCAATAAATTCATGGCTATCTATGGGATATTGGTGTGGACAAATTGGCTGCCTACAAATACACAGTCATCATGACCCTTTACAGTAAAATCCTGTGAAGCACTTTGAGACGTTTTTATAATGTTAAGGTGCCGTATCAAATGTAAGGCTTTTTTTTAACTTGAACCCCTTTGACCATCTTGGTCCATCAATTGTGTCCATACAGATGTTTTTCAAAGGGCAAATGTATTTATCGTCCCCGCTCATTTACTTTGCCACCTCTTTCCATTAATTCACAGTTAAACAGTAGGGTTGTTTGGAGGGGGAACTCAGAAGGTAGTGTGTGCAAATCAGGGCAGAGTTTATGATAGTCAGTGTTAATCGTTCGAGGAAAGACCATTCGATTGCTTTAGGATAACAGACAGTGACCTGACAGCTAAGGACCACAATTCTACAAAATGAAGCCATGTTAGATAACAGTAATAATAATCCTTACATTTGCATGTTGGAAGAACATCTCAAAGTGCTTCACAGGATTCACTGTGACTGTGTATTCCACGCTCTGAGACATGACCATGGGTGAAGGACACTATATAAATGCAAGTTATTGTTGTATTTTGTTGATGAACATGGCACCCAATTTTGCATACGCCAATATCCTAGAAAAACAGCCAAGATGTAATATGATGTCCCTGGAGCAACTCACTCATAAAATATACAGTCAATTCAGTTTACAGTATATTCTGTGAAGGACTTTGAGACTTCCCGAAGACGTGATAATACAATGAGAATGCAGACGTGATAATAACTAAATGAAATGCAAGGATTATTTTATTATAACTCGAAGAGAGAACTCCCTTCTCTTTTCAAGTAGCGCCAGAGAACTCAGATTAACATCTCATCTGAAGCACATTCCCAGTACTGCATAGACTATGTGAAATCAAAATCCCAACCTGGGGCTTCTTGAACCCAAACCTTCAAATTGAGAGATGAGACAAGTCTCAGGTTGATGCCTTTACCTCCATAAGGAATGGCCAACTAACTATACACTGTTGCCCTTTCTAATTTGCAATCTGACAAGTTACTGGGGAAGACCGAATATAAAAGTTTTCATTGAGACTGACCATCTCACCTGTTCTCCTCCCCCCCACCTCCATCCCCATCCATAAGGTCCCTATTTTGCTGAAGCTCATGTGGAGTAGTATGGGCCTGCTCCATACTGGTTGCACGCAACTATAATGTTTATGCTCCAATCGATCAGATCAGGGGAACGCAAATCTGTCAGTTTATAGCCTTGAGACTATCGTGTTAAAATGTAAAGAAAAGCCTGGACAAGTCAGAAGTCAAGTGTGTGATAGCTTGAAAGCTGGATTCTCTGCAGTTTTCTCAACAGTGTGGAATCTATTGAGGTTCCAAATTATGCTGCAATCAAGGTAGTCATTGATTCAAATGGACCTTGAAGCTTGATCATTGATGCCTGCCAAAGACACTCGCTATATAACCTCACCTTTCTATACTGTATATAACATGAGTTTATTCTGGAAAAGGCAAAACTTGGCTGTAGCTGGGATTCTGCATGTAACAACATAACTGGGCTTTTTTATATTATCTTATTTGAGAAACCAGTTTAAAATCAGCAGGAATATGCTAGGAATAGGTGCATGAAAAGCAAACGGTGACAACAAAATAACAGGAAAGATTAGCGGTTAAACTTTTATTTACTATGCAAAAATGAGTATTGCACACACAGCTATCCATAAGAGAAGACAAATTCACAGTATGACAACTGCTAAATACTTGAAAATCGTGAAGAAAATGATTTTTTTTATAATATGCGATTATTTCCATTCCTGACGATTTTCGGTATCAATGAAAATGACATGAAAGGAATGGCTTGTTATTTACAGTAGTTAGTTAGTTAATTAGTTAGTTAGTAATATTCCACAGCACTAGTTTTTTCTATTAAATAAATGATATTTAAAGATAATAAACTCAATAAGAGATGAAAGAATGAAACGACGATTAATTATAGGAATATTATTATTCTATAATGAAACTGAAACACCCAAACCCTGCAACATAAGCTCCTCTCTCTCTGGCACTGAACTTTCATTCAGTTTTCCTAGCCTGTGACAACTGGTTTTGCCTTGAAATTCAAAATGGCACAGAATTGTGGACAATTCTAAAAATCTGCTTCATTTTGGAAGGCGGTTTTCTTTTTCTTCAGCGTCCGAATGAAAACTAAACGTTAGGATTTTCCTCAGTTCTGCAAGATTATGCATTTTAAGACATTGCTACCTCGCAGGCTAAGACTAGGTGGAATTTGGGGTCTTAAATGTACATCCACATCGTGGGTGGAGGGTGGGGGGGGATTTTGAGGGGAGAGTGGTGGCA